ACGCTGGGCCAGGTGGTCACGGGGGGGGCACCTCTAGATTTGTCTCCTACACTTGGGCAGTGGCTCACGGGGGGCCACTCAGGACTCTTGTCCCCACACCGTAGGCCCCCAGCGCGTTCACGGGGGAACCACTCATTGATTCTGTCCCCACACCTGGGCAGCGGTCACGGGGGCCACTCTAGACTCTGTCCCCACACCTAGGCAGCGGTCACGGGGACCACTCTAGACTCTGTCCCCACACCTGGGCAGCAATCACCGGGCCCACTCTAGACTCGGTCCCCACACCTGGGCAGCCGGTCATGGGGGCCACTCTATAGTCTGTCCCCATGCCGGGTGATTCGATAAGGAGTGGGGTTGTTTGCAAGGGGTGAGACAGAGAGAGAGACCTTGGCTAGGTAAGGAGGGAGGTGGAGCCAGGAATGGCTGCCAAGGGGGCGATGGGCCAGTGGTTTGGAGAATTTTGCTGTGGGAATGCTGAGCTGAGGAGCACAAAGGAGGGACGTGATAGCTGAAATTGGGATTTCTGAAAGGAGTGGTTTTTGGCGATAGTGGGTTGTGTGGGAGGGAGTGGTGGAGGGGCGTGAAGGAGGACATTGGAATTGGGGGGCCAGTGCCCCTGCCAACCCTTGCTCCTCCCCATCTATTCTTCTCCTCAGCTCTGGACCCTCCAATGCCTTTCTGCTTCACTTGGAGAAAAATCTAAATGTCCTCCCATGACCTGTTCTCCCGACCTCCGACTATATCTCCTGCCTCTCTCCCCTGCTGTCTACACTGCAGCTACGCTGGCCTTCAGCGCTGGCCCCTGCTGCCTCTGCCTGGACTCCCTCCTCCCAGATAGCCTCACTGCCGCCTCCCTCCCTGTGGCTTCTGTCATTGCTACTCCCTTTGCCGTCTCGATCCGTCTTACATAAAACATCACCTCTTCCCATCACTCTGTCCCCTTATCTACTTTCACCAACAAACGCTCCACATACGCATTTGTCTAGGGGTTTGCCATCTGTCTCCCTCAACAAGCATGCCAGCTCCATGAACCCAAGGTTCTGGTTTAGTCACTGCTGTACCCAGCCCCTAGAAGAGCACCTGGCACTGGGCCAGCGCCCCACAAATATTGTTGAACGGGGGTAGCCAGAGCTGGTCTCTGTGTCCTTAAGGGTTGGTAAGTTGATACTGATGGGTCTGAGGCCAAAGCCAGGTGATATGAGACCTAGAGCTGTTGTGGGGGCCTCGGTACCCTCCCTCCATTGTCCAGAAGGGGTGGACCCAGAATATATAGCATTTAATAGGCTGTATGTAGAACTTGGCAGTTAAGAGCTCTGCCACTTAATAGCTGTGTTACCTTAGACAAGTTACTTAATCTCTCTGAGCCTCTGTCTCCTCATCTGCAAAATAGAAATGAAACCTAAATCATGGAGTTGTGCAGATAAGCTCAGACCCTGCGTGCCAAGCACTTGGTACAGTTCCTGCACATGGTGAATGCCCAGTAATTGTCGGGTAACATTACGTTATTTCTCTGTGACTGTTTACAATCGTACTGTGCACTATGGTCCAAACAAGCTTTGCCATTTACTATTTTTTTCTGATCTAGGGCAGATCCTTTTACTTAAAATGAGATTCAGTTTCCTCATCTGTGTGATGGAGATAATAATTCCTGCCCTGGCTCCCGTAACAGAATTGTTGAAGGGTGTAAGTGAGGTGACACATGTGAAAGCACTTTGAAATGTTATGTGCTGTGTCATATAAGGCATTTGTACTTTTTGTTCTTGCTGACCAGTTCCTTTTAGGGTTGCAGGAGTTGTAGGCAGTGGGTGGTTTGTTAGCTTTCAGAGAATGCAACAGAATACTTGGGGTGCCAGCCAGCAGCTTCCGATGTCCTTGATGGCCCATTCCTCTCACCCTCACAGCCTGGGAGGTCAGGGTGAGATGATAGAGACTATCTGCTAATATCCACTCCCACTTATTTCAGAGAACAGGCTAGAAAGCATTTCCCAGCCTCCTTTGCAGTTCCATGTGGCTAACTGTCTACATTCTCACCAGTGGAATGTGGATGAGGGCAGATGTGCTACCTTTGGGCCTATGATTTAAGACTGTGCATGCCTCCCCCAAGCTCTCTTTCCCTTCCCACTGGCTTGAACTCGCAGAGACCTCACTTCCACTGTGCAGGCACAACAGTGGGAATAGCGGGGAATCCCCACCGATGGATTCCAGGTCCCAGTGTGTCTGCACTGAGCAGAGCTACCTGCCGACCTGGAATACTCCCCAGGCAGTTACATCAGAGACAAGTAAACTTCTACCTTCTGAGTCCACTGAACCATTGCTGGGCCTCTTTGTTACAGCAGCCATGCCTTACCTTTACCAAGCAAAGGGGAGAAGAGTGTGGCAGAGAGGAAGGGTTCCCGGGCTGGCATAGCCATCCAGCCCACCAGACCTGCATGGCCTGCCACTGAACATCACCGGGATCGCATCCCAAGGGGAAGCCCAGGAAGGAAGCAGTGTGTTGCATTGCTTAAGACTGACTCAGACAGGCCTAGGTTTTAATTTTGGCTAGAACGTTTATTAATGTTGTGAATTTTGGGCACTTTCACTAACAAACTTAGTCTCAATTTCCTCTTCTGTAAGATGGGATAATAATAGTAGCTAACTCACAGGGCTACATGAGAATTATATGAGATAACATTGATCAAGAGCTCAAAAATGTTTATTGTTACTAATGGGACCAGCTAATATCTATATCTGATTTTTCCTACTCTTTTTTCCCAGGAAGGAGGGAAAGAAACTAGTGTCTTGAATTTTTCACAAAGCTATAAATATTCAGTGTCTCTTAAATTGCAAGTTCCTAAGGCCTTCAACACACCTAATGTTTCTCAGTCATCTGCTATGGACCAGAGACTAGGGGGGGCCCAGGGGACAGAGATGCCCTTGTGGAAATTAGTTTTCTGCTTTGCTCCTCAGAGAGCATTAACCCCTTCCTGGCTCACAAGCTGGAGTCCAGTCCCCCTACTGAATGGAAATATACCTTGACTAGGAAAGAAACCCTGATTCTGCTTCACACCTTCTTATGAAGTGCACATGCCAGACAAGTTCAATCATAATCTCGGGGCCTGGGCACTGACGTCTAGGTGTTTCCGATGAGTAGGTGGAGTCCAAGCACTGCCCTTCCCAGTCATCCCACACCAGCCTAAGTGCGAGTTTCCTACACAAGGTCCGACCTTGGCAGTCCCCTGGCAGTCTTCCAGGGTGCTCATCACCTACAGGCTCAGACTCTGCATGGTGCCCAAGGCCTGTCACAATTTGGACCCAGCCCCCTTCCATTGATGACACTAATGGCCAAGACTGACCGAGTGTTTCATATGACCCAGGCACTATACTGAAGGCTTTATGTGTGGTTGTCACATTCAGTTCTCACCTAAGCATAGGAGACAACGTCTTCACTCAGTTTCCTCATCTGTAAAATGGGAATATTCCAAGAAAATGGGTATAGTGTCTGGTGAGCAGTTACCATTCAGTTAACAGTGGCCAATACTGCATCATCTCTACCTTACAGATGATGAGAAAGTTGAGGTTAAAGAGGTTAAGTAATTTTCCAAGGCCATAACTCATTAATAAGGGCCAGTAAGGGAGTCTGGCTTCAGTTCCCAAGCTAGCCCGCCGTTCACCCTATCACTGCGGGCCTGTGATCATCTCAGAGCCAACTTCTCCAGCTCCCCTTGATGAGGTCTCCAGGTCTTTGCACGCATGGGTCCCTTTGCTGTTAGAATGATTCTCTTCCTCCTCCTCCTGGAAGGCTTCCTCCCAGATCCCCCACCCCCAAGACTGTCCAAGGCAGGGACACATCCCCCCACTCTGTGCCCCTCAGCCTTCTCAACAGACCCCTCCACTCTCATCTCACCAAACTGTCACTGAGATATACAGCACGCCCTCACTCAGAGCAATGGTGTCCTTGTCACCTCTGGCTCTGCTGTGCCTGTCTGGCACAAAGCAGACCTCTGTGAGTGTTTGTTGGATTTGTTGGGAGCGGAATCCACCAGAGAGCCAAGCTGAGAGTGGAGAACAATACTTGCTGCAAGGGACCGCCTGCCTGCTCTCGGCTGCAGCGTGCACTCCCAGTGAACACACGCAAACGCCTCCCCTTGGCCATGGCCTCCTTGCCACTTGCTGGGACTTCCAGTCCCTTGGCCCTGGCTCTCCCTTTGCTTTCCTGTCTCTCCGCAAAGTTGGCTGGCAGGGGGTTCACCCCTAGTGGGGCCGGGACCATCCAAAGCATGAGTCTAGAAGATTTCTCACCTCCTCAGTTCATTTATTCAACAGGTATTTATTGAACACCGACTGTGAGCCACGCCCCAGGCTTGGTGCTGGGTCCAGAGTGGAGAGCAAGCCAGGCAGGACCCTGGCTTCAGGAGCTTAGAGTCCAGTGGGGGGACAGTCAACCAACAAGGAAACACACAAAAGGATGAGCAGCAGCAAACCCCCATGAAGGGAAGGAACTGGGGCCTGGAGACAGACAAAATATTCAAGGACAGCAGTCAGGGAAGTCCTCTCTGAGGAGGCAACATTTAAGCCAAGGCCTTGAGCATCTGAAGAGCTCTGACATGCAAAGGGTAGGGGAAGAGCATTCTGGGCAAAGGGAACAGCACATGCAAAGTCCTGCAGATGGGAATGCAGGTGGAATGTTGAGGAAATGAAGGTGGCAGAAGCATGGAGCAAGTTTGGGACTGGCCGAGAAATGAGGCTTACAAGTGAGGTTGGGACCAAAAGAAGAAGAGCTTGGACTGTATCTTTCAAATAACAGGGTAACAGAGTCGGGGTTTTAAACCAGAGTTGATATGATATGATCAGCAGGTTTCAAGGTCTCCCTGGTGCTGCTGAGAACTGATTGACAAAGCAAGAGAGAACTTCTGGAGGCCAGGGCAGATCTGGGGCAGGGGATGTGGCCAGACCAGGGTAGCTGTGGGTTCAGACTGAACTGGGTGGACTCCAGAGATATATAGAACTAGAATCTGTCAGAGGTTTCCAGAAGAACTAAAAAATCTTTATTGGATGTCTGCAACAACAACCCCTGCAACAGGGTGGGAGTGGCGGTACCAGGGAGGCTTGGGGATAGAAACAGAAGATGCAAGTCCTCGGCCATGGAAACAAATACACAGTCACGTTTCCCCCAAAATCTCTTGGGGACAATGAACCCAAGATCAATTAAGATGCTGAAAGGGCTGGGCCATTCCCACTTCATTTCAATGGTGTCAACAGATTCTTTCGGAGTTGAGACTTGCAGCATGCAAGTGTGTTCCCACAGTCCCAATAGGAGTAAAACGTTGGATTCTCGGGCTAGGAAGTTGCCACATTGCAGGGCTACAGCACGGCCCTTGTACCCAGAGAGCAGTGCGAGATGAGGAGGAGGAGCAGTTCTTCTTCCTGTCCCCAGTGGGCCCCTCTGTGAGAAAGGCAAGGCTGGTCTTTGCCTCTGTCACCTCCTCTGTCCCCCTGTCCCCACTCCTGGGGGCCTGTGTGACTGTCCTGCCCTCCCTCTCCCTCAGGAGCACCCCCGCCAATGACCCAGTCTCTGAAATGATGCCCTCTCTCCTCGCTGCTGCACACCTAAGATGCGTCTGGGAGGACAGCAATCTGATCCAACTGAAAATGGAAGGAGTACTTACCTCTTGAACCCTCCTCGAGGAGTCTGCATTTTCAAAAGAGCTTTCTGGGTCACCCAAATGATCTCGGCCCTCTTACCCACTTCTCTGAAAGGGCCCTTTATCCCCAGGGTTTCTGCAAACTCTACTTTTGAGCCCACTGAGTCTCCTCTGGGGAGGGTGGTCCCATCAAAGGCAGGGGGTGGGACAATCTTCCCAGGGCTGACATCTGCAGTGTTTAATAACCAGCGGGGAATGAGCACTAGTGAATTGCCAGCTCGAGGACCCCTTAGCCTTGGATCCGTCAGGCATTACCCAGATGTTGGGGGGTCCTCAGGGACATGTGGGTGGTGGGGGATACTCAGAGTCCCCTCGGGGGGAGGAGATATTTACCAACGAGTGAAGAAGTGTTTCTGCATTCTGTCAGCTGGAGTGCAACACTGGTTCCACTGGCTGCCAGTTCAGGCTCTGCTATTGTGCTGGGAATGGTCACTGGGCCATTGGTTTCCTATTAGAGGAAAGTGGCCCAGGGTGGAGCTGGGTAATGAAATGGCCCCTGAGCAGCACCAGCTGTGTGGAACCCTGGTGAACAGGATCTCAGGCCCTCGACCCCCTGTGTGACCTTGAAGGGCTGAGCCGCCTTGAGTCGTCCTTCCTCTTGCCCCTCCTCACGGCTATTTTTGTCCAGCCCGACAGCCCCTGGCTGTTGGAGCAGTCTGGCTCTGAGAGCTGGATGCAAACCAGGCAGCACAGACGTCTGGTGCCAAATCCCAAGAGGATTCCTCTCTGGGCGCCACTGCATGGGCCACGACCCCTCCAAACTGCGCACCCAGCCGGGAGGGACCAGATGCCTGGAGCACGGTGACTGCGGGAGGCAGGGAGCTGGGTGCTCCATTGCTAAACCCTGGCTCCGATCTGCAAGAGCTGTCGAGGTCTGGCGTCAGAACACTCTGTCACAGGGTTTTGCCGCTGCCTGGAAACTTCCCAGGCAGGCTTGTCCAGCCAGTTGTGTGCAGGGACCCGTTAGTCAGCTGTGGGGAGGGGGGTCTGGGACGAGGGTGGGAGCAGGCCCCACTCAGCCCACAATCTCCAGGCTCTGGCCGTAGCGGAGAACGAGTCTGTCCTGTGGTTCAATGCGATGGGGTGGGCCAAAGGCAGGTAGGCAGGGCAGACAGGGTCCCCAGGAGACCTCTTCATGGCCCCTGCTGCAGGAAGTGAGGCAGACACTGTCCCACGCCCTCAGCCTGGGAAGGCTGCAGCCGGTCAGTCATTACTCCTAACTGGGGTCTTGCCCCTCCAGGGAAGCAGCCTGCCTCGGGCCCTGGTGCTCTTTAGGTTAAAGCTTCGTTCCCAGACCTAAGATTCAGGCCTACTGCCCCACGTGTCCTGGGCAAGAGGGGGGTCCAGGCACAGCTCCAGGACTTATCTGTGCAGGTGAGAGATGGGACCAAGCCTTTGAGATCAAAACATGTCCAGGAGAGCTGGGTGGATGAGCTGGGGTGAGCAGTGAGGAAGGCAGAGGGCCAGAGGAGGAGGGGGCCTCTGGTGGCTGGTGCAGTGCCTTCACCTATGAGCCAGTCCGCGAAGCAAAGGAGAAAAGGCAGTGCGCTTTTAGAGCTCCTGGAAAAAGAATCTTCCTCATTCCTGGGGGTGCAGGTGGGGGCCAGCTCAGAAAGCCCCAATTTCAGTGATTTCGGAGACCCAGGAGCGGTAAAGCATGGCCCCTGCCGGCCTCCCAGCTGGCCCTGGGGAGGATGGGCTGGTGGCGGGAACAGCCACATAAGCAGTGGACCCTACAGCACCAGGCGGTGTGGGGGAGGAAGACTGCAGGAGGGGAGCGAGGTGGCTGCTCCTGGCAGCCCTGCTGCTGGGAGCCACGGGCACAGGGGCGGCTGGCCTCTCTGGGGGGCGGGCCCTCCTGGCGGAAGATGCTCCTCGACTGGCCAGCAAATTTCTCCGGGGTGTCAGGATGGTGCCAGTGGCTCTGCGAATGGGAGTGGATCGGAGGGCTGGGATGGGGTAAGTGGGAGAGGTGGCGCCAGGGAGGACAGAGCCGGGCACCCTTCCCAGGATGGCGAGCTGGCTGCTCAGGGCTGGCAGCCCCGGGCAGCTATGGAAGAAAGACCAGGGCCAGGCAGGGAAGGCCAGGGGGCCGGTGGGTGTGGGCGAAGGCTCCATCTCAGCTGCATAGCTGTTGAGGTGGGAGAGAAGGCGAATCCGGACGGGGTCTGCACGGCTGCTGGGTCCTTCCAGGACCCCCAGGTACCTGATGACCTCGGTGAGGCACTCCCGAAAACCAATGCTCCGGAAGTCAACTGCCAGGGCTCGGGCATCAAAGAATCCTGCAAAGGGAGGCACGATGAGGACATGCCAGGGGCAGGGAGAAGCATGGAGCCCAGGGCCAGACTGTGTGAGCTTTGGACCTGCATCTCCCACTCACTCCTTGGGTGACCCTGGGCATATCATCTAGCCTCTCTAAGCCCCAGTGTTCCCATCTGCAAAGTGGGAATAAACATCTCTACCTGGGATGGAGGGTGGTGGGCTGTGAGGATCAAAAGAGTTCACTAAATTATGAAGCATTATAAAATCTAAAATATTGTTTTATCACAATTCATGATTAATGCAAAGAAGAAACTCTGTGGCCAAGATAACTTCATTTAGGCAGACATTTGCCAGGCATGAAAAGGCTGTGCGCATGGCGGTATAGAAGAACCCAGCCTGCCAACAGGGACAGATGTCAGGTGGACACATGGTGGCAGCAGCCATCAAAGCTGGAGGCCCCTTGGAGGTAGTGAAGCAGTGAGACATGAGGTCTTTGGAGGCCAGCAGAACTGGGTTCAAATCCCCTCTGCCTCTTAACTATGGATGGAGAAGTCTCCTCATCTCTCTATGCCTCAATTTCCTTTCCTGTAAAATGGGGATGCAACAATACCTGCTGCATGGAGTTGTGGGGGTGAAATTAAATACAACAATGCATAGAAAATGCTCAATAAATGAAAAAGTTAGCTATCACTTAAACTACTGGCTTGGTGCCTGTTAGCATCTGAATTTGTCCCTCCACTCAAAAGGCAATCTGGAAAGCAAGACCCCACTCTGGTCCTCAGCTGCTGCCATCAGGTCAGGGACCTTCTCTTTGAGGAACAATGAGGAATTCATGAGGAATACCCATGCTGGTATCACATCCTGACTCTCCATACCTGTTCCTCTCTCAACCAACTTCTGGGCAAAGACAGAACAACCCCAACCAGTGCTGGCCTCCTGACTATGGCAGCAAATATTTGGTCCTTGGTTCATGGCTGAGGCCCCCACAGAGGGACAGCTGGGCCAGAGACTATGTTTGGAGTCAGGCCAACTTGCAGGTGACCTGGCTCTGCCGTATACTTAGCCATGTGAGTTCAAGCAAATTCCTTCACCTTTCTGCGTTTGCTATTCTTTTCTAACAATTGCTGAGTTTTTACTAAGCACTTAATTGCATTATCTAATTTAATGTTCATGAAAACCCTCTCATTATTCCCATTTTAGAGATGAGGAAACCAAGCAATCGAGAGGTTAAATCATTTGCCAAGGTCATAAGCTAGTAAATATTACAGTCGTGCCAGGATTCAATTCCAAAGCCTGCACCATAAACCATAGTTCTGTCTTCCCATTAACCCTTAGCCAGAAAATGGTGATGGCAACCACCTCAACTTCCAGGTTCTTGTGAGTGAGAATAGAATGAAATAGCATTAAGTGAAAGTATTTTGAAAACTGTAAAATGGTGCCCACATATTAGTTATTATTTTCTTTTAATTGGATAACCATAAATGTAATTTGAATCTGCCATGCCAGTTCATTAGAGAAAAAAGTCTCCACTGTTAGCAGTGCATTCCTTTGGCAGAAGTCCCCAAAGGGACTGCCTGCATCAGGGTGGATGGGCTTGTTAAACGTGCAGACTCCTAAACTTCGATCCAGACCCACTGCGTTAGGATCTCAGGGAGGGGGAGGGGCCACGACTCTGCCTGCACCCAGATGATACTGCTGCGCGTGGAGGCTGAGAAGCATCAGGCTGGGCCACTTAAAATGCCATGGTCCTCTTCTGGAGTATGAAGTTAGGTCTTTGGGACTTAGGTCTTTGTGGCCAAGGGCTGTGGAGCTTTCAAGGTTTGCCAATTGTGAAATCACTAAACACACAGAAAAGCTCTGTGTAGACAAAATTTCCGTTTGTCTGGAAGTCTTTTTAAAGCCACAGTTTTATTACTCTATTGTAATGCCCTAGCCTAAAATAACAGAACGCGTTACATGTGCATTCTATACTACAATCCCGAGACTTGCTGTGAGTGTGACTTATCACCCCAGCACTGCCAAGCACACAGCAACAGCCCGGAAGGCCAGACCAGTAGGTGGGGATACCAGGCTCCTTCCCGGGTTCGGGTGGGTCACAGACTGGGGTTCAGTGAGAATCAGCTCATTCAGGTGAATCCTTAACAAGGCCGGGGTGGGGATAGGACCAGTACGAACAGCCTGTGACAGAAGAAACCCCCTGCGAGGTCAGAGACAGGAAGCAGCTGAGTGGAGGAGGGTTGGGATGGATGGAGACAGTGAAAGTGGAGAGGAAGATGCTGGAAGAAGAGATGAGCTTTGCAAACGTGCCACCGGGGTCTGCTTCAGCCTCTGGACAGACTGCGCTCCGGGAGGGCAGAGACCATGCCTGCTTTGCTCACCAGTGTACACCCCACACCCCAGGGCCCAGCCTCTAAATATTTGTCGTTTGAAAGACTCCTGAGAGAGAAGAGAAGCAGTACCTGTCCCACCAGTGGCATGGAGCATTTTCAAGTGATCCACTGTCATCTGCAACACCTCAGCTTTCTCCAGCTTGGAAGAGCCCTGTGGGTACAGAAGACAGACGAGTGAAGCCACCAGTTGGGCCCTGTTGCTGGACCTTCTCGGTTTTCTCACCTTCCTCCCACTCTGCCACTGCCTGCAATTGGGCTTCTGCTTTGGCCAAGATCTCCAAATCTAGAAGATTCTCTTCAGTTCTCCTCTCAGTCCACCTGTCCACTGTACTGCTGCTGACCATGCTTCCCCAAGTCCCTCCTCCTGTCACCTCCATGACACCACTTTTTATGGATTCTCCTTCCACCTTGCCCCTTGCTCTGCCTGTCCCTTAATATGGTGGTGTCCCCAGTGGGTGCTGGCTCACTTCACTTCTCGCTCTGCTGCTCTCCCCAGAGGGCCTGGTCTACATCCAGGGCTACCACCATCACCAGAATGTCACATGTGTACCTATCGACCTCGAAGACCAGCTCTACTGGGAATCCAGCCTTGGACTGAGCATGCCCAAGATCTAGCTCAACATCTCATCCCTAAAGCATCTGCTCTTCCCTCTCTTGGCAAGTGTTTCCTGAGCCTCCAGGATCACCTGTGTGCCCAGGTGAAACCTGAGTGTCAGACTCTTCATGTGAGTCCCTTGAGGTCAGACCCAGGTCTAGTTGATGGCTGGTCCTGGGAAGGTTTGAGCGAACATCTGTGGAATGATGGACTTGTTCTCACCAGCACAAGGGAAGGCAGATGCCCTGTGACCTGTGCCTTGGCCCATAGGGCGAGGATCTTAGAGGCTGTCTCCTTCAACTGTCTGACTCCCCACTGTGGTCCCCCCACCCCAACATGTTCAACAACAGGGTGCTCACTCCCTGAGTAGCCTGTTCCACTTTCTAATAGCTCTGGAAATGTCACTAGTGCAGAGGATAGGGGGCTTTAGAATCGCACAGTCTGTGCCCCAATTCCACTGTGCTGGGCACTAGCTGTGCGATCTGGTATACATTACTCCCCCTATCCATGCTTCAGTTTCCTTACCTGTCAATGGGCATAATAATCCCTACCCTTCAGCATTATTTTGAGGAGTCAATTCAGTGGGATGATGGGACACAAAAACCACAACACCTGAGATGCTCCATTTCCATTCCCTTTATCCCCTGGCCAGTGACAGACAATAACTGATTACAGCACCGAAGACAGCCAGTACCAATCGATAAGAGATGCCTAATCTGCCCCTCCCTCCCCCCACAGCATTTCCTCTAGCACAACCAGCATGTCACACACCTGTTTCTCAAAGGCGGTGGGGACCAAGCGTCGCAATTCAGAAAGGCTGCTGTTGATGCGGTCTCGGCGCCGTTTCTCTATGATCTAAAACACAATGACAAGAAGTTACTCGCAGGCGCTTCGCCAGGGTGTCCAATGTGCCTTGATGCACGCTGACTCTCACTTCCCCTCGCACTACTTCTGTGAGGGCGATAAATCCATTCTCACTTTATGGAGGAGGAAACCAAAGCTCCGAGAAGGACTGAGGTGCTCAAGCCCAGGTCACGCAGCAAGGAAGGGCAGAGCTGGGAGTAGAACTCAGCTTCCTTGCTTTGCTCTGTTGGAGTGATACTCAAAATGCCAAACCGCGGTGCAGCATGGCACAGCCGATCAGAATGGCGACACCAGCCACAGAGCTGGAGTGGGCCCTGGAGGGCCCTGCTGGGCCAGGGTTGCCCAGACAGTGGCTGGGTGGTGAGCAGGTCTGAGGGCTCCCAGGTGTTGCTCTGTCCAGTTGCAGAGGCCTTGCTTTCACACTATCTCGTTCTCCCCCCAAGATACTGGTAGCAGAACACGGGGGACACAGCAGAAATTATAACCCCATTTTACAGATAAAGAAAATGAGGGCTGGAAGGAAGTGGTTGTCTGGGAGCTTATGATGGGTCACTGGCAGGCTGGTCTCTGCCAGATCCAGGTGTCTGGACTCCCAGTGCAGAAGTCCAGCAGCACAGGGGGGTGGGGGGCTGGGGGGGGAGAAAGGGAGGCCGCTAGGTGGGGCAGGGGAAGACAGACAACAGCCGCCTTCTTCTGCGCCTCCCCCACCGGGCATTACTCAGAGGAGATGGAGGTTCTGGCCTCACGGAGGAGGCAGAAGATTGCGCAGAGGGGGAGGGTGGAACAAACAATCCCAACCGCCTATTGTGTGTCAGCTATTGTTCAGGACGCTACACTAACTCAATCTGCAAAACAGCCCTTTAAGGGAGGCATTGTCGTTATTCCAGTTACTCAGATGAGGAAATAAGGCCCAGAGAGGTTAAGGGGCTTGCCCCAAGTCACCCCGGTAGCTACTGGCAGAGTCAGGATTTGAACTCAGACAGTTAGTTTCAGGGTGAAGTCTCTGACCAGGGTTCCCCGCGCCAGGCTGCAGGGGATTCAGGGCAACCCTTTGTTACCGGCACTCACCCCTCTGCGTTTCTTCCTGGCTTGCATCTGCGAAGGGCTGGGGGTGGACAGCGGCCTGGCCATCTGGCTGGAGAGGAAGAGAAAAAGGCCGGTTTTTCAGAGCCGGGGGACCGTCTCCCTGGCCTGGGCTGACCTCGGGGCTGGGAAGAGCCGCAGGGCGGGCGTGGGAGGGGGCGCCCGCTCTCCGCTGCTCCCCGGGGGCTCATTTCTCCCCGGGCCAAGCCCCCCCAATCCCTCCGAGCGGCCCGGCCCGGGCTACTGGGCTGTCGGCCCGCCTGGCTCAGCCTCACCCCTCGCGCTTCGCCCCTCGCGGCGGCCGTCGGGGAACCGGGAGCCACGCACCGCTCGGGCTGCTGCAACCCGATCCCGGGGGCGGGGCGGGCGAGGGCACGGGCCGGCGGCGGGGCCGGGCCGGGCGGGTTGGGTTTCAGAGGGAGCCGCTGGGAACGAGCGTGGAAAGAGCAGATGCCGCCGCTTCCCACGGGCCGGGCGCGCCGCCGCCCGCCCTCGGCCCGGCCTGCAGCTGCCGCCTCCTCCCACGCGGCGCGGCCGGGGGCGAGGGGGAGGCGGCATCTGGGTCACAGGCCCCTCTCCGATGATGCGCGGGGACACTGCCCTGGCCTCCCAGAAGGGCCCGTCCCCCATAACCTCGGCCTCCCCTCCCATCCCCGGCCTTCCCTCTGCAGCCCGGCTGAATGATGGATGTTTGCTCACACCCCAGGAGCTCCCATTACAGAGAAGAGGCTCAGCCCGGGGCTTTTCCTGTCCAGACTTTGACAAAAATAATCTCCAGCCGGACTGCTAACCCTCTTAACGTTTCTGCTCCAGAAGCTCTCTTAGAATGGTGAGGATTTGCCGAGACCCGCTGAGGCATCACTCATTTGGCCAACAAACGCCTCTGCTTCTGTGGTAGGGCCGGTGCTGGCACCCTCAGCCCGGCCCCAGCCCTCCACACTCGGCTCAGCTCCGATGGGGAGACGCTGCATGAACAAACCACAGAGTGACCCCCCCCTGCCGTTTCAGAAGGCAAACCGCCACACACCGCAATAGGAACCCATGAGCTAGGCTCACCCCACACCTGCCCCTCCTCCCCGTGGTGTCCCCACCTGAGCAGAGGCTCCCCAGCTTCCAGTTCTGCAAGATAGAAACCTGACGCCCTCTTTGATTCCTCCTCCTCCTCACCCCCACCTCATCACAACATGCCCATTCCATGTCTAAAGTACATCTCATGTTCGTCCTCTGCATCTATCTCCACCACGCCTCAGTGCCAAGTCACTGTCACCTTTTACCTGGACGACTGCAAGAGGCTCTTGTTGGGTCCCTTTGCACCCTCTTTACCCCTTATAAGCCTCTCTCCACACTGCAGGCGGAGTGATCATTTAAAATACAAATTTTATCTTGTAAAACTCCCCAGTGCTTTTAGGATCAAGGCCACCATCCTTGAAGTGGCTCAGCTGGCCCTTGTCACCTCCTAGACTCAACTCTTTTGCTCTGTATACTCCAGCCTATGCATGCACCAACTCCTTCCTGCAGTTGCACATACTGTCCCCTAGCCGAGAGTTCTCTGGTCCACCTCATCTCCCTGCCCCAAGCCCCAGCCCTTTGCACAGTAACTCCTACTACCCTCCAGGTCTCAACTCAAATATCACCTCCCTGGGGAGTTTTTTCTGATATCCCCCGTCCCACCGCTCAACACTCTCCTAGGATCCTGCATTCACAGCATTTATACCAGATTGTTGTTTCATATTGTCTATCTCTCCATCAAATCCATAAACTCCATGAAGACACGAACCATGTCTGTTTCATTCACTACTGTAGCCCCAGTACTCAGCAAGTGTTTGGAACATGGCAGAACTCATGGTAGAGCTTCCTTCTCCTGCCCTTGTGTTTGGCATCACTAAAGAACAGAGAGAGGTGAGCACCATAAAATCTCTATCGTAGGCTTCGTGTGGAATTCGAGGCATACGTAGCTTACCAGAAGGATCCCAGCCCATGAGACTACCCTTGGCATTTGAGGTTGGATCATTTTCATCAACTGCTCAAAGACAGAAGGTTGCAGAAGAGACCAGATAGCATTTGTCAAACCCTATTGCTCTGCCCTAGCTTTGTCCAGCCACATATGGAAAAGGATATCTCTCACCCAAATATCTGGACAAGCAGAACTATAATAGTGAGAGGCCTGTAATAGCTCCTGGGAGGGAGAGACCGGCAAGCGAGGTCCAGGGCTCAGATGGCCAGATCCTGAGATCTTTAGGGCAGCTTGTTTACAAAGCCTCCCTGGTTCACTGGGGACAAGCCCCAAGAGCCAAGGTACACTAAGAAACTCGGCCTTTGTTCCCCCCCAGCTGGATAAAGCGTCTCTTGGGGTATTGGGTTAGCCTTGCACACGTCACTGCCTCTCAGCCTGATCCCTCCTCTGGGACCATCTGTTGGAGGCTGACGCACCCATTTCAGGGCAAGGCAGCTCTGCCATCCCTCTTTCCAGTCCCAGGTCAGTTTTTCTCTGACCTCCCCTCCCCTGTATTTCACAGGCAAACCTCACTTTACAGTTTTCTTGGCACCAATGGGTATAATTCCCTCCTCTGAGCTTACAAAAGCCCCATGTCACAGATGAGGATGCTGAGCCTCAGAGAGCTAAAGCAGCTTGCCCAGCCCACACAGCTGCTAAGGAGTGAAGCGAGCAGAACATCTATGTCTTCTTGCTCCACACTGAGCATTTTTTCCCTTCTAATTCCTACTTCCTGTCTGTCTGCATAGCCCTCCAGTCCCCTTATCCTTAAAGCTCCCAAGAGCCCAGCCAGAGCTCCCTTCCAGCCTGTGATCTGGCCCTGACAGTGGGAGGAGGTGTGGGAGCTTCTCATCTGGGAGTCTGAAAGAAAATAAGGCAGATTTTCATGGACCCAGAGAAGATATGTTGACCATCAACATCAAGATCTGTTCCATGGACCTCTAGTGGCTCCTAGCCAGAAGTCTGGGGTGGTCTGAGGGTGGGTGGGTGGCTTTCCAGGTGGTCCTGACCACCCTCGGTGCTGACTCCCCTTGGGAACCCCGTCCTGGAACCCTTGCAGTCAACTCCATCCATTCATTTTGCATCAACCCAAGGCAGAATCACAATGTCCCAAATGACGGGATCTCACTGAGGGCATTTGTAAATGAGGAAACTCAGAGAGGGGAAGGGATCTTCCCCAGGCCACACAGCAAATCAGAGGAAAATCCAGAACTAGAGCCAAGGCTACTGGCTCTTAACCCAGTGCTCTTGCTAGTGCACGCCACATGTTCATCATCCCATCACAGATATCTCAGAGCCAGTACTTTGTGTTCTAGACAGCACTTCCACATCCAATTGTCTCTCATTTATTGCACAACAGTCCTGTGAGTTAAGTATTATTTGGGCCATTTCACATTTAAGAAAAATAATCCTTATATAATAGTGGAGTGACACAGACACAAAGAGGTTAAGAATCATGCCGGTAAGTCCAGTATTCAGATTTCCAGCCCCTTCTTTAGACACCATACGCTGTCTGATGCGTATGGTGCCCCCAGCTGAATGGTAGCCCCTTGACAGCAGCATTTACTGGAAGTTACCTTGTGCCCAAACAGGGAGCTATGTGTTTTATGTGCATTATTTCATCAGAGCCTCCTCCTGTGAGGCAGGTATTAGCATTTCATTTTGGGGTTTTTTGGGGGTTTTTTTGTTTTGTTTTTGTGACAGAGTCTCACTGTGTTGCCCAGTCTAGAGTGTTGTGCAGTCAGCCTAGCTCACAGCAACCTCAAACTCCTGGGCTCAAGTGATCCTCCTGCCTCAGCCTCCCAAGTAGCTGGGACTATAGGCACGTGCCACCATGCCCGGCTAATTTTTTTCTATTTTTAGTTGTTTGCCTAATTTCTTTCTACTTATAGTACAGACGGGGTCGCGCTCTTGCTCAGGCTGGTCTGGAACTCCTGACCTCAAGCAATCCTCCTGCCTCGGCCTACCAGAGTGCTAGGATTACAGGCATTAGCCACTGAGCCCAGCCTAGCATTCTCATTTTGGAAGGGAGAAAACTGAGGCTCAGAAAGAGGTAAAGTCACTTACCTTGGTTAATGGTGGTGAAATTCAAACTCAGGTTTATCTGACTTCAAAGGCCACCATGTGCCTTAAATCATGTACGAATGACCCATAGACTCTGATCCAGTGTCTGACATATGACAGGTGCTCCTTAGATGTTTGCAGAGGGAGAGGGGAGAGGCTGTATTCTCAGTCTGGACCCAGCATGAATCAGGGGACCAGGTTCAGATGGGAGCTCCGTTCAGATGTGGCAGGAACCCACCACCAGGCAGATGCCCACAGTGATGGTGGAACACACCCTGCTCTTTCCTCTTATGTCTTTGAGTGGGGGGGATTTGCGCCCTGCCTCTGACCGCCCCCCGAGGCTGGCTGCCCCAGTCCTGTGGCCCTTGTCACTGTTTATCTGGCTGTCTTTGTACATGAAGCTCTTCTTCCCTGGGAGTTCCCTGAGGGCAGAGGCTGAGCAGGATACATCTGGGCCCCCTAAGCCCAGCCCAGGGTCTGGGCCACAGCAGGCATCGCTCAGCGCTCCCTGAATTGAAGCATTGATGTCTGCTGGGGGGAGGGCCCTTTGGTGAGTGCTACAAAGAGGCATCTATAAGTCAGCTCCTGCCAGATGTCCAACTGCTTTCTCTCCTCAGAGGGGGCCGCTCCTCTAAGAACTGTCTCTAAAAACGGGCTCTGTACATACAGAAAATGCTGTACTTACAGGAAAAAAACTGCCCACTGACCCTTTATGCCTCCATTTGGGCAGTGGCCCAGATGTCACCACCTTCAAGAAGCCCTCCCTGCCATCTTCGGTAGTGAGTGACCTCTCTCCACTTAGATGCCCTCACAGCCCACAGTCTGTCTCTCTTTCCATCCTGTCCATGGTCTTTGTGTGACCTGGCAGGTCACTGAACAGGCCACGAACTTGCGGAGGACAGAAGCCAGCTCTGGTCAGCCTAGCTCTCTGGCATTAATCTTGTGCCCCTGACCTATGAAGACCCAATGACACTGAATTTGAGACACTTCTCCAACACCATCATGTGGTGCTGGGCTTTCCCCTTGCCCCTAGTAGGCACAGGCTCAAAGAATTGCTTCTCTAAATAGCAGTTTCTACTACATAATTAAGAAAGGCTAATATGTTGCCTAGGAATTATATTTTACACCCTAAAACCTAATGTACAGGGTGCAAGAGGCATATCTATTGCCCTACCTCTATTAACAGTTTATAAATAATTGGCATTTGGTGACATTTTTCTAGCCTTACGAAACTGGAGAGCATTGACATTATGAAATGCCCTCAAAAACATCCCTAAGAAGTAATTGGATTCACCTCCAATTTATTCTAGAGAGTCAGGTTTGGATGAGCCGAGAGAGACAAGGTATCCCTCTCCTACTCCTGTCCTCTTTTATTTTACTGATGAGAAAACAGGCTAAGACAGGGAAACCAACAGCCACATGGTGAGTTGGTTGCAGATTTGGGGCCGGGACCCAGGCCTGCAGACTCCCAGTCAGTCCCTGCAGCTCTTTCAGGTTGCTGGGTATCACATGGTGTGTGCCTGACACTAAGCATTTGCTATGCATCAAGCCCTATACATACATTATCTCATCTGATTTTGGCAATACTATTATTTATGCCCATTTTACAGATGAGAAAACTGAAGCTTAGAGAGTTCACAGAGCTGGGAGGCAGCAGATCTATATTAGTGCAGTTAGTTCTACAGGTTTGAAGCAGGTCAGAATACCTCCTAATGGCTGAAAGGCCCTGGCAGCAGGGGAGGCACAATATGAAGAGCACTGGAATTGGAGTCTAGGCCCCTTGCAAGTCAGCTATTATTTTCTTCCATAGCAAAACCCTAATTCCAAAGTCCAGTTTGCTCAAAGGAGGAGAGATTTTCTTTCCCCTGAAACTTTGTGGACTACATGAAAACTGCACCCAAACTAGGGTAAAATTGGGAAAGCATGGTTATTCTGCGTAGCCAGCAGATTCTCGACAGGGGGTGTGGTGTCAACAAGTCAGACCAGGGTTTCCTTTTCAGGGAAAACTCCTCGCCCATGTCCTCCCCCGTGCACTTCAACAGAACCAAGATCACCAACTGGCCATCAGAGCCCCGCGCTGAACTCTCTCTCCACCTCAGCATCCCAAACCCTCAGTGGCTGAGAGCGCGCAGGGCCCCACCCAGGCACTGGCTCTGTAACTGCACACCCCGCACACGGCGCCCCTGCGGCCACCGCGCACACCTGCCTCTGCGCCCACCTGCCGCCCGGTCCGCGCGCTCGCTGAGCCGGTCCGGGCGCTCCCCACCCCGTTGGCCCTCGCTCCGTCCCGCACCCGGGCCTTACCTCAGCTCGCCCTCGCGGCCCACGTCGATGGGTCCGTCCGACTCGCCGTCCGAGCCGCTCGGCTCCCTGGGCCGCTTCATGGCGATCGCAGGCTGCCTGGGTCTCGGCCCCGCGTCCCGGGCTGAGTGGCCCAGTCCGGCCCCGCCCCGGCCCGCCCCGGCCCCGCCCCGGGGGCGCCGCCGCCGCCCTTTCCCAGGGCCCTTTCCTGCGCCGCAGCCCGGGGCGCCCCGGCGCCCCCTCGCCCCCGCGGTGACGCGCCGCCAAGCCGTGGGAAGGCCCTGGGCGGTCTCTGCCCCCACCGACGGCGGGGAGGTCCGGCTCGCTGCGCTGTCTGGGCCGCCGCGCTGGGTGGCCTTGGGCAGGTGCCCTGGGAGGCCCCGCCGGGAAGCAGAGGTCGCCTTCTGGCCTGGTTCGCTGTGGGCGCTGCTGGCCCGGCAAGGCGCCGCTCCGATGCCCCAGCTTCTGCAGGGGTCCGGCCGAGCGTGTTCCAGCTTCCTGGGGTTCTGGGGCGGCAGATACACCAGGCTTGTCCAGGTTGGTGGGGGTGGCTGTGGCCTAATCCTCCACAAGAATGGTTCCTAGCAGGTCCTTCCACAGGGCCCAAAGCGTGGTGGGGGGTGACACTCACACCTGTGAGAGAGGGGCGATCAGCCCCCGAAAGGGATGCCTTAAGTGGTGATGGGGGACCTGAGAAGGCTGAGTCCTGGCCAAGGTCCTTGCGGGCTGACTTGGCGGAGCTGGTGGGGTGTCCCTGGGAATCAGTTCCCAGTTCACCAGAGGTGGAGCTATTCTGGGAGGCCAAGAGGCAGAGAAAGGGATCCTTCCAGAAGCTATGACCGGACTTCAAAATGGAGGAGGATAGGGGAAGGGAAGATGGGCTCCCCCACTCCCAGCCTCTCTTTCTGGAGCTTCTCCTTTCTGAAACAGACCAAACTGTTCACTCAGTGAGGGCTCTGGCTGCCCTGCCCATAGGGAGGGGAACTCTTGGAAAATTCTCAGAGATCCACCTGCCATCCTCATGGCCCAATGCCTCAGAGAAGCCACCAAGGCTCAGAAGAAAGTGGAAAGGCAGCAGCCTGGGGGTGGACTTTTCAGGCAGGAAGGAGGAGATGGTGAAGAAGGTCCTGGTGTGGTGGGTCACACACCACAGAAGTCTCTCTCTTGGTTACCAGGCCATCAGGACGGGCCCAGAGGCAAGTCACCTATTCCAGGAGGAGAAAGGGGTTGGACATCTGAGAACTTTCATCCCCACAGCAAGACCTGCTTGGGAACAACTTGATTACTTGGTGGGAAAGGACATTCCTGTGCCCTCGTCTGCACACGTCCACAGACACAACCACTTGTCCAAGTACACAAACACACACAGACTTAAAGATACACACTGATATGATACACATAACTGTCATGAGCTGTCAGTACCAGGAAGCCGTGGTGGCCACCCCACCCACACCTATGGACTCAGTCAGATGCCCTCAGCACTCACATAACTTCTGCCAGCACATGCCAGTGTAGTGGAAACCCCAACCAACATAGAAGTTGCGCAATCCGTACACTATGCATTCCCTAGAAAGGCAGGCATCCAGGAAGCCTCCTAGAGGTCTGCTCTCTGGATTGTAGGGTGCGTGGCAGCGTCCCTGGCCCCTACTCACTAGATGCCAGTAGAACCTGTCCCAGTTGTGGCCACCAAAATATCTCCAGGCCAGGGGCAGTGGCTCATACCTGTAATCCTAGCACTCTAGGAGGCTGAGGTGGGAGAACCGCTTGAGGCCAGGAGTTAGAGACCAATCTGAGTACCATGGTGAGACTCCATATCTACAAAATTTATTTAAAAAAAATTAGCTGGGCATGGTGGCACGCACCTGTAGTCCCAGCTACTCAGGAGGCTAAGGCAGGAGCTTGAAATTGCAGTGAGCTATGACGACACCACTGCACTCTAGGCACAGTGACAGAGCAAGACACTGTCTTAAAAAAAAAAAAAGAAAAGAAAACACTCCAAACCCAAAAAAGCTCCAGATAATACCAAATGTCCTTTGGGAGAGAAATCAATCACCCTCTGTTGAGAACCACTGGTCTGGAGAAACTCCAAGATTTAAAGGTTGGGTAGAAGAGAAAGTGCTGCCAGAGAAGACTGAAAAGGAACAGCCGGGGGGGTGGTGGTGGTGGAAGAGAGCCAAGAGGAGGGGTGGCAGGAGCCAAAAGAGTGTTTCAAGGACTTGGTCGTGATCCTTTAAAATGCCAGTCAGATCATATCACTTCCTGCCCAAAACCATCCATAGGCTTCGCATTGCATTTGGAATAAAATACCAGCAGCCTACCATGGTTTATATATAG